AATTCCCTCCTTGTTCTTCTGGATTTTATCATGTCTAGAAACTGCAAGACCATGTTGTTAACTAGGCATGATGCTAACACTATGAACTGCCCATCACTAACAAAAAATTTAGATCTCATCAAGCTGTGGACTCAATTACTCTTTAAAGGTAGGAACTAATACCCCACTCTTGGTCTTCCTGTTCTATAAAATAAAAAATAAATTCCCTTATTTTTGAGCCAGTTGGAGTCAGGATTTGTGTTACCTTTAGATGAAAGCACCCTTGTCGACATAACATACATATCATGATAGCAAGTATTTTTGCTCTTATTATGAAAAGGCCTTATGCTAAACACATCATGTAAGTTAACTTGTTTATCCTCAAAAGGTTATCATGCAAAGATGAGACAATCAAGGCCCCCAAATTAAGTAACTTATCCAAGATCATACAGAGCCATGTTTGGAATCCTTCAGGGCCCATTTTTTAATTTATTTTTCAATTTTTCAGAGGACATATTTTCTTACCAGAGGGGCTAGAGAAGTGACAAAGCACCCCTCGCCCCCATCATGGAGCACAGTCATGCTGTAATTCCTTTTCCATTTGTGCCTCCTGTCAGGATTTTGGGTAAGCAACACATGCTCCTGGACTGTTTTTTGAGCTGCTAGTTCCAGGACTAGAATGGCACAATCAACCATGTGGAATCTAGACACCTTAAACACCAAGCCACGAGCTGGCCTCTTTATTTCTTTTAAGCAAACCATCATCTATTCATATATTTGATTAGTCTCTTATTAGAATCATGCAAAGATGCTCTTTTTTGAGATGTATTTCATGACTTAAACACATAATAAGTAAAGCATTACAATGTTGTCAAATATTCTATCCATTTCACAAATATGCTTAGCCAATAGTTTGTTTAGAAACCCTCTTCTCAGGGCCAGCAGGTGGCATAGTGGTTAAGGTGCTAGACTCGCACATGGTCAACCATGGCTTGAGTCCTAGGTCCAGCAGCTTAAATCTCACACCGGATGCATGTGCATGCATGCCCAAAATTCCAAGAGGAGAATGGAGAAGAAAAAACTATCATATGGACTTCCTTCCTGGGAGGGGATTTCTTGCTTTCTATCTCTCTGTCTCTCTGTCTCTCAAGCCAGCACATGTGCTCTATACCAAAAATTTCTCAAAAAACAAAACAAAAAAACTAGAAACCCTCTTTTCTCAGATTTTCATGAGCTTTCCAAAAAGATGAGAGAAATAATATAATTAATTTTGTAAAGATGCCAATAGAATGTGTAATTTTTAATGACTATGCTATAGTTAATAGTCAGTCACGGGACCAACAGTTGGCATAATGGCTATGTCACTGGACTTCCCTATAGTCGACTGCAGTTCGAGTCCTAGACTCATGCCAGGCGCATGTGCATGCGTGCCCAAGATCCTGAGAAGAGAATGAAGGAGAAGGGATTTCGGCATGGCCATCCCTCCAGGGGGTGATTTCTCACTTTCTGTCTCTCTATCTGTCTCTGTCTTTCTGGTGAGTGCACGTGCCCTATAGGAAAAACCTCTCCAAACAAAAATAAAAAACGGCACATTTTTTTAATGGAAATATAGAATTGTAATAATAGCACAGGACATCTGGAGCCCCTGACCTGAAAGCAGGTTTTTATACCTGTTTTGTTTTAAAGAACATAGAAAATATCAAACAATAAATACATTTTTCCTTTTGAAGGAGCTGTTGGTCTGATTCACCTGGATTGATAATCAGGTTCTTGGCAGAGATCAAGACTAATTTCCAAGGCTGGAATGAGAACAGTAAAGGCTATGAATACTCAGAACCAGAGGAACAGACAGACCAAAAACCACTGGGAAAACATAAGGATCAAAGGCCCAAAAGATGGACCAAATGTCAAGTTCAAAGTTAAAAGGCAAGAATTGACAAAAAGGCCCAAAAGCCAAGTGATCTTGAAGTCAAAATTCTATTGAATCAGAACCAGCCCAACAGGATGTGAGTTTCCAGAAGAACTGTTTAAAATATTTCTGGATATTGGGACCAGCAGTTGGCGTAATGGCTATGTCGCTGGACTCCCCCAGGCCCAGTGGCTTAAACTCACACCAGGTGCATGTGCCCAAGATCCCGAGAAGAGAATGGAGGAGAAGGGATTGTGGTATGGCCATCCCCCCTGGGGGGTGATTTCTCACTTTCTGTCTGTCTGTCTCTCTCTGTCTTTCTGATGACTACATGTACCCTATAGCAAAAACCTCTGCAACATACACACATACACACACACACACACACACACACACACACATATTTCTGGATATTTATGATGCCCTTCAGGGTCCAGTTGGTATAAGATGAGGGGAAGATGAAAATGGCTTCAAAACAGAGGCCAGGCAGATTGAAGACAATCTCAAAATAAAAGCCAAGATCCAGAGGCTTAAGTTCGACTAACTATAGCGACATTCAGCAAAGTATTTGTTGTTCTGATGAAATTCTGAAAGCAGGATATTTCTCTTGGTGCAACAAAGAATTCCTAGTTAAAAATAACATGAGTTATTTGCTGATGATAATGTATATGGTAATGTCTTGTCTTGACGGATATGCACTATCTTTGTGCTGGGACAAGTCAAGTTGTACACTGTAAAGATGTATAATGATTAAATGTAAAATTTAAAAAGTCAACTAACTCCAAATCATTATGTCATATACCAGCTATGTTCAAGATGAGCAACAAAATAAGTCAAAGGGAAAACTTTGTGCCTTCAAAAAACTTATAATAACATGAGAAAATATGTCTTGTGGTAATTATGAAGGTTGATAATTCTCAAGTACACTTGAGGATGTTAGAGTTCTAATAATAATCATTTATTGAGAAAGAGTAGAGTCTCAAACATAATCCTTCCAGCAAAAGACATTGAGATGAACTGAAATTCAAATCTGGACTGTAGCACAGCCATCTGGAAATTAATACTGCAAAAGTACTACATGGCAAGTAAGTCAGTCTGCAAAGACGCAATGAACTGCTGCCTGCTGAAGAATTGTCCTGTACTGCAGACCACATCAATCTGTGCAGGTGAATGACTGTCGATACCCAAACTTGAAATGATTTCAATGATGGGAATAAACATTAAATATTTACCAGTTGAAGCACTGCTGGATCAATGAGTTCGTCTCCCTCCCTGGGAACACACAATAAGTGAGTAGACTAGGACTTCTAGCAGCAAGAAAAGGGTTAGCTGAAGACTAGAAATCAGTGATACCACCATGGTTACATCAATAGGCTAAGGGATAAATGGAGGCTGCTGTCATTTATTA